CAAAGACTCTTATCTTGGGAAAAAAGTACGTAAATGGAGGAGAAAGAATGTACGGTAGAAGCTTGTAAAATACGAAATGAAGACGTGGCGTGGAGATGGCGTTTTGGCCGTGTTATTAAAGCTTAACTGTGCTGTTAATTGTCACGGGTAGTTGTGAAAACCAAAAAGAAACTTGGGCCTTGAAAGAATTCGTGAAGGAAAAGATCCTCCATTATTTGTTATACAGAACAGTCTGGATGCAATCAGGAAGTCATCTTTTATTAGATAATGAGTCTGATGGTACTAGTGGGGTTTATGGACTTTGATCTCAACCAGTGTTTTTATGTTTTGCGTTAGGGGGATTAGTATGCGATAATCTTTCCAGATGTGGAGAATGTGTTAATCACTTTTGTTAGCATAGTGAAATGTCAGTGTGGTTAGTGGTTGGGATGCTGGCTTTGACCTTTGGAAGCTTTATGGTTTTACCACAAGCTCCAAGAGTTTAATTATAACTTTGGACAATTCTGAGGCAGTTTTCATTTCTCACAGCACTTTCTCTTGATCTCTCTAGTCAACACAGATATGTGGAAGGACATTCCTCTGCCACAGACAGAGGCTCAATCGGGTATTATGGTTGGGTGTCATTCCAGCAGCCAGAGTTACACCCCATCTCTCTGTGACATGTAATGAGATTAAGGCATTTTGGAAGTGTTGGAATTATTTGTACCATATATTCATCATAGTCGTGTGCTAGAGGAGAGGACCTCGTATGTGGTGCACCTAGGCTTTTGTACTCTGATTCATCAGGTGGTGTCACTGAGTGCTGCTAAACTGCAGAATTGACTGTTATGTGCATATGCTTTGTATAGGATAGTTTGATACTTAGGTGTGTTGCTAAAGTGGGATCCCAAGGAAGGAAACAGAAAACTTTGGGGAATAACTTGTATAATGTAGGGGAAAATATAGATATTTCCAGTTATAAGAGTACTACTTTATAAATTAAAATAGGCGGTGTTCGAAAAATAATACAGGAATCGGTAGTATTTAAGAATGGTGATCTCTGAATTAGTAAGATGTTGATAAATCCTCATGATTCTGAGCTATTCAAAAGCAGCCACCGAGCTTTCTGTTCAAAGGGAACCAGCTTGATGAGATCTGTTGCTTGTATATCTGTCCATGAGTAAGGTAGAATTCATTATGTTACAATATTTCATATTAAAATCAGGTATTTGCCCTGCGGAGAAGGACTTGGGGTGTTGGTTGATGAGAAGCTTAACATGAGCCGGCTTCAGTGTGTGCTTGCAGTCCAGAAACCAGCCGTATCCTGGGCTGCATCAAAAGAAGCGTGACCAGCAGGTCAAAGGAGGTGATCCTGCCCCTCTACTCTGCTCTCGTGAGACCTCACTTGGAGTACTGTGTGCAGTTCTGGTGTCCTTAACATAAAAAGGACATGGAGCTGCTGGAGCAAGTCCAGAGGAAGGCCATGAGGATGACAAGAGGGCTGGAGTACCTCCCGTATGAAGATAGGCTGAGAAAGTTGGGGCTGTTCAGCCTGTGGAAGAGAAGCTGCGTGGAGACCTCATAGCAGCCTTCCAGTATCTGGAGGGGGCCTATAAGGATGCTGTGGAGGGACTCTTCATTAGAAACTGTAGTGGCAGGACAAGGGGTAATGGGTTCAAACTTAAACAGAGGAAGTTTAGATTAGATATAAGGAAGAAGTTCTTTACAGTGAGGGTGGTGGGGCACTGGAGTGGGTTCCCCAAGGAAGTTGTGAATGCTCCAACCCTGGCAGTGTTCAAGGCCAGGTTGGACAGAGCCTTGGGAGACATGATTCAGTGTGAGGTGTCCCTGCCCATGGTAGGGGGATTGGAACTAGATGATCTTAGGGTCCTTTTCAACCCTATCTATTCTATGATTCTAAGATATTATGGCCTTCTACTAAATAGATGGAGTGCCTCATTTACTATTCTTTTCTGTTGTTTAAAGAGCATTACTTTTCTTCTGTGGCTGTGCTGTGTTGTGAAGTCTGATGATCTTAGCTTTGTCTTGGCAGACATCAATAATCAGGATTATTTTAAGTGAACGTTTCTTCCATAGAGAAGTGCCTAAGTGGCAATAACTGTAAACAGGTATTAAACATTTCAAGAGATGGTGTCAACTTGCAGGCATTTCAGTAGAAGTTATTTGCTATTGTTTTTCTTCTCTCTTTCTCCCCATGTTGATTATGTTTCCTTTTCTGTGTTCTTTTATTGCTGTGTGAGGAAAACACACCTATTTGGAATGTAAGCTAATTGGCTTAATGGGAGTGTGGTGACTACAAGGGAAAAACATTGTTTCATAAGGTTTTGTTTTTTATTTGTGTGAAATAATTAAGTTTGTAATATTTGTCTGAAGACAACAACAATCTTTATTCTGTCATCTGGTTGCAACAGCATGTGTCTAACACAGAAAACAAGTGATACATAAAAAAAAGAGGAAAAATAGAAAAACATTCTGAAGAAAGTGTATATGTATGTATGTATGTCTATAAGAAGTTCTCTGTTGTTTTTTTTGTGTAGCTGAACATTGGCTTAAGTGCAAATTAAGGGCAGTCTTTGCATCTCCTAAGTGTTGATGATTCGTATCTACTGTTCTATTTCTAAATCTAGCAATTGCTTTCTTTAAACCATGCTTATGTTTGAAAATCAGGAAATGTAGCCTCTTTTTTTTTTTTTTTCCCCTCTTCCAAGCTTTGAGTTCTGTTAATCTGTCATGCATGCTTAAACTTTCTTAACTTTATTGTTTGGTTGTTTTTTTTGTTTCCTTTAAATAGAGGTGTCATCTGACACTGGGGTGTTGAAGCTAACTTCATGTGGTTTATTATGAAGACCTCAGTTAGAAGTCAGGATATGCGATTAGAAGTCAGGGTTTGGAATGGGGATGTGTTTAAATAGTTTAAAAAAGCTTAAATATTTTTTTTTCCCCCTTTCCAGGCTACTGTTCCTCTGAGTCACCTTATTAATGCCTTTCATTCACCAAAAAAATCCACTACTAGTGCCAGCACAGCATCTGTACAGCCAGTTCAGAGGGACGCTTCCCCAGAGCATGATCCTCAGAAGAGCGAGGTACTAAAAACCTTTGGAAAAAGTAGTGGTTTGCTTTTAACTGAACTAAATCTGAATAATAGCAGTTTAAGGGAATTTAGTATTTGACTTGTTTTATAAAATAATATAATGCGACTGAACAAAACAGAACGTTAACACACAGATGTAACTTATTGGCAGAACTTTAGTCGATGCTTTGTCATTGAGGATTCCACAAAAATACAGTACTTCCTTAGCAGGAAAAAAAGCCGGTACTTGTCTCAGTACTAATTTCCAAATGAGGAGGGGATTTGTTTTCATTTTCAACTTAATGTGTCTTGCTCTGAAGTAACAATAGCACTTCTGTTAATAAACCCCTTATTATCTTTTCACTCTCTTAGTTCTAGCGAAGTTTGTTTCATTATTGCTTGTGAGAAAAAGGACTGTAACTTCAAATATGTTGAGTTTTTTTAGATATTAAATAGCATATTTGCATGTTTTCTTACTTTTCTAGGAAAACCTTTTTAATTTTCAGTAGGCATTTTTTGTTCTTTACATTGAAAATCAAAATACAGAAAGTGCAAAGTAGCTGTGATTCCATTAGGGTTTCTTTGGATTTTTTTTTTTTTTTCTTCTTTTTTGTGATCCTGTATTTGCTTCTGGTGATAAAAATTTATTTCAGTGGGAGACTTGGATTACTGAATGAAACTAAATGTGTTTCATTTATTCAGTTCTTTATTTGTCTTTCTACTCAGCAAGAGTGTCCTTTAAATATAGAGGGATTTTCACATTTAGTATTTTCTCTCTGATTCATTGTACACCTGTTTGCTTCCTCCTAGCATGATAGAAGTATAAAAATAAGAGTTAAAAAGATCTCTCAATTAAAGAATTTTTAAAGGAAGTTCTTAAAGCAAGTTGATTGGACTGTAATAAGCTTAAGTAAGGGTTAAGCTCAAATGTAAAATCAGAAAGTACTGACATAGTAAATGTGGTTCTAGTATTGAATAAAGCTGAACTATTACTATGGCAAAAATCATCATTAATGCTGTTTAAAAATGTGTTTGTACTTATTTTCAGTATAAGTGGGCTAGCAGCAATCTACCCTAGCCTGTAAAACAAATACTCTGTTTACTTAAGAAATGTGTTCTAAACTAGAAGCTTTAGTTTTCGGTGGTATTCTGGATGCATCTAGGAATCTGATCTAAAAATGTGTCTTGACATTTATTCAGGTATTTCATTGTTGTGGTTTAAGCCCAGCAGCTGGACCCAGGGCATTCATGTATGTTTTTATTGCAAATCTAGTGTCACCTTTAAAGTAGATGAACCTAAAGTTTACAAAAAACAGTTTAGGAAAAATAAAAATATTATCCATAATCTTCTAACAGTTAAAAATTTAGTATCTGTGCAAATACATCTACAATAGGATATTTACTTCTCAGTTAAGAAGAAGTTACTGCAGAAGCAATATTGAGAGGCCAATAAATATTTTAAAGGGTCCAAACCAATACATGTTTTTAAAACATACTCTCCCTTAAAAGTTTTTTTTTTCCTGTCTGTAAAATACAAGAGTAAAATTACTTCAATCAAGGTTACTTCTTTAGTAACTCGAATGTATGTGCCTTCTATCCTTTTTCCCCCCCCCACCCCCAGTTAATTTGCTTTGTAGGAAATCCCATATCCTAGTACTTACCCTTTACTCCATAGAAACTTTTGCCTTTTATTGTGTGTCTACACAACTTGTGGCTTTGTAAGGTTTTAACTTCGGGTACAGTAGCCAGTCTTTGTGCGGCTGCTACATCTTGCACTAGCTGCGAAAAGGCTAGCAAAAAAATTAAAGAAAAAAAAGAGGTTGGGGGGAATAAAAGCATAATGGGTGGCTATTGCTATAGATCTTTCCCCTTTACACTCTGCATTTATGCTAGTATAAAGAGTTAGAAAAGTGTTTTTTCTGTGCCTGCTTCAATCAGGGAGCAGGAAGGTGTTAAAAAGACTGAATTTGAGAGAAAATACACTTGTCATAAATGTATGGTGACAATGAAAATATCAGTGTGTGAAATGGAAAAGTTATTCTGCATTGACAGTAACAAATATTCTTTCTTTAATTGTGTCCTTTAATTTGTTTATCTTCATTTAGAAATTTTTGTTTCAGTCTGAACTGTGAAATACAGATGCTGTATCAAGTCAAAAACTTAACTCAGTTATTCTTAAACTTTTCCCCCTAAGGTAATCTTAAATAAACTTTGAACCTTTATTTCTATTTTTCAGTCTGTATTTAATCTAAGAGATCTGGGATTGTCTGATCTGAAAGCGAACCATTTCAAAGAATTGGTGAACAGGTTGCTTCCTGGCTACTGTCCAGAAAACAAAGTCTCTTCACAGTGGCATACATCGTACATCTCTGCTGAGTCCTTCTTTGAAAATAAGCATGGTATGTTTCAGAGTAAAGTGTTAATGAAAATTGGAGGTAAATTGTAAAGGTGAACACAGTTATTCTTTAGTTTAGTCTCCTGTGCTGTAGATAAGAGTTTTAAAAAGCTTTAATATAAAGAGCATTAATGTATATTTTCATTGTACACAGGTTGTCTATAGAGTAATGCTTTTGAATCTTGGGAATTTGAGAAAATTCAACCTGGATTTTGGAATTATTTTTGCAAATTCAGATTTGAATTGGTCTGCTATTAACACTTTCTGAACTCAGCTGTAGTACAAGTGCATTGTCTCTCAAGGATGACCTGTGAATTTTTTCACCAAGTAGAGGAAATGACATTTTACTAATATACTAACATTGAATCACAGAATGGTTTGGGTTGGAAAGGACCTTAAGATCATCTAATTCCAACCTCCCTGCCATGGGCAGGGACACCTCACACTAGACCATGTCACCCAAGGCTCTGTCCAGCCTGGCCTTGAACACTGCCGGGGATGGAGCATTTACTGCTTTGGGCAACCTGTTCCAGCGCCTCACCACCCTCACAGTAAAGAACTTTTTTACTTACATGTAACCTAAACTTCCTCTGTTCAAGTTCAATTACCCCTTGTCCTGTCACTACAGTCCCTGATGAGGAAGGTAACAGAGTCATGAACATCTCCAGTTTACCTAAAGTTTTTTGCTTGAAGGAACATTACTTAGAAAGTAATTATGGGTGACAGACTGTTAACACATAGAGTATTTAATTACTGAAATAAGCAAAGTGTGGTTCCTTAACAGCTATACTTTGTTGGGATTAGTCTAAAATACCGGAAGCAAGGCCATTGTAGGTGCTCAAGAATGTGTTGGAAACAGAAGCTTATAACTGACGTTTGAGATACTGCCTATGTAGTATTGCAGTCAGGAGAAAGATTAAGAATAGTACCTCACGGCTACTATTAGAGAAAAAGTATTAAATTGTGTTGTGAGATATAAAAAAATTAGCCCAGAGGCAGTTTCCTGAATGTGAAGAAAAAGACTTGCAAATGCTTGAGAGATTTGCTGGATTGACCTGGAAGCTCACCGGACTGGTTGTCAAAGCAAAGTTATAGGTGGAAAACTGCCACAGGCGAGGGAGATGCTAAATCTTCAAGACGATACTTTTGTGTAGGTGACACTGCAGGCTATGGATGACTGTTACTATTGATATGTGTATGTTGTGCATATACTTGTGCATGAAATGAGAAGAGTACTTCTGTTAAACTAATGTGTTCATAATTACATTGTATTAAATTAGCCAATATGCAGTGTTGCAGAAGATAATGGAATATAAAGCATTGTAGAATTGTAGAATTAACAGCTAATATTTTTTTCTTCTTCCCATAGTTCTTCAGTATTTCAGTTGTTAGCTTGTAAACAGTTAATACAATTATATAACTTCAAAAAATTATTAGGAGCTTTCAGGGTTCTTTTTTGCTATCCTAGATATATCTAATTGATGTAATAACTTTCTCAGAATATGTAAAACAAAAAATAACTGCCATCCTTTTTGTGATTACTTTAGCTTCTGAATTACTATGGAAGACAGCATATGTAGGCTTGGCCTCAATTTTTTTTCCCCTCCCCAGCTCTCTAATATTTCTTAAATAATTCTTACCTGCTAAATGAGGATGAGTTCTTTTAACTTTTGGTAACTGTACAATGGATAAATGACAGTCCTCTTTTATTTCTTCTTGGTTTTGTATTTAATGAGGACTGCACAAGTACGTAGACTTAGCATAGTTTAAATTTTTTTCATACTTTATACGTAGCCTGTTGTAAAATGCCACTGAGCGATCTGTTCTTTAAAGCCTTTGAGACTAAATGTTTGAATGCTGGTCCTTCAGCTTCATGACAGTTTAATTACAGATGCCTGAAGGACCATAGTAAAATAGAATTAATATTCTGTGCAAGAAGAAATGTTTAGATGTTGTTTAATATAGGGTGTAGTTACACTTTGCTATATCTTTGTACAGGTTTCATGGATTTTTTCGGTGTTTTGCGCTCATCTTGTTTGTACAGACAGCATCCTAATCCCCTCCAAAACTTCTGTTCAGATGTTCGGAGTTGGCCAGGTATGAAACAATAAGCTACCCTGGTTTTAATCTCTGTAGTATCTTCTTATGCTGGGAAAGTATTTTTACTTTTGTATCACTCAGGAAATACCGTAAACTTCTAGGGGGAGCTTTATATTGATGTTAACACTTTAAATCACAGTTATTTTTGCATTTGAGTAGTATGAATTAAGTTAGTAAACATTGTATAACTATAGAATGTTGTTCAAATATGTCAGTATGTCTGGTTCATATTCTTAAAAGATGAAAATGAGCTGACTACTTTTGAATCAATAAAGTATGTTGAATCTCTTACTCATCCAGATGAACTTTCTGAGGTGCTTGGTGACTGCTTTAAACTGCTCCTGGATGTATGATGAGTAACAGCAGGGCTGCATTAACAAGAACAAAAAAATCTCCAGTGAGCAGTTTGTTTGCGATTTCAGGTTACAAACATGGTTCACAGTTACTTAACTGTACATTTACAGTACTGGAATTTATTGGTTTATTTATCCAGTTATTACTATTAGATACAGAAGTGTCTTTCATACAGTTTCCTGTTCCTGCTTCTGTGGTCAGGCATCTTAAACAGATTGCTGCTTGCAATTCTCTTCACTTTCTACTATTGATATGTTGGGAAGACTGAATTTAGTTCAGTCACAATAGTGTTTTTCATGTAATAGTGTTTGAAATTTCTTAGGCCTTTTTTTAGTGTTAGTGATGGATAGATTTTAACTTTCTTTATTATTACTACTTTAAGTTTACATACAAACACGGAACTTCAAGACTTTGAGATCAAGAGCAAGACGTCTGCAGTCAACATCTGAACAATTTACAGAAACAAAAAGTTCACTTTCTTCAATTCTGAAGGTAAATAGGAATAACATTATGAAGTTGGTTTGGGCTTACTCACATCATCTGTTTCTCTCGAATGAACCTTCACAATTTACCAAGGGTGTTTTGTTTTACTAGTGTGAAAAAATTTCTTAATTCTGAAGCTTGAGCTAATGACAGCATTCTGTTTTTCTTACTGATATGCAGATTTGTGTCATATATCACCTCTCTAAAGATTATTTGAATTTTTTAGGAGAGTGGTTTCAGTAGGTTTCGACTTTAAACTGTAGCAATAATATTCTTTGTATTCTGGTTTTGTGGCTTTTAAAAATAGCTTAGAGTCAAACTATTTGTTTTAAAGAGAAATGCAGGTAGTTTAACATATAAGAATGTGTATTCTTTTTTTTTAAGCAGTTCAGCATGTGATTGATGTTTTTAGAATAGAATACATCATTACTTGTGGCCAGTATATTTTTAAGATACAAAAATTTGAAACTTGGTGGTTTTATAAGTTACAAACTCACTTATATACTTTTAATTCAGCAGATAACTATTCAGGCTTGGAGTAGCAAAGGACTTAATAAACCAAGTTAGCCTAAATACTCTTTGCTCCTAAGTGGTTGTGCAGAAGTCAGGCTAGTTAAAGCATTTGATCTTAATCTGTGTGTAAATTAGCTTTGAACTCTTCCCTTCTAGGCATATGTGTTTTATTGTACCTGTGGACTAGGTATACCATGGGTGGAGATAAACCAGAGCTAGCTCCATGCAGTGCTGCTCTTAAATTTGGTAGAGCATGAGAGATGTATTTGATCAGGCTCTGTCAAAGCTATACTTGGCAAAGATATTTCACATTTGAAAATTATTTAAGTTTATTTTAAGAAGCAAAAAGCTTAAGCTAATGACTCCCACTGTATCCACTACAAAGTTAGCTGCCTACAGATCTGCCTTTGGCTGTGTTTTTGGTTTGGAAGCAGGCTCTGACATGTTCAGGAAAAATCAGGGTGCCCATGCAAGAGCGATACAGCCCTGTCTCATCTAACTAACCCCATAGCACCTGAATTATGTGCTTTTTATTAGTTCTTTTTCCCCTCACCCATGCTAGCCAGGTAATAATTTAACTATGTATCAAAACTTAGTGTATGCTAATGCTGCTGTGGAAAATATTCCAGGGCTTTATCCTGAGAAAGCGCAGGATTGATGTTGAAAACTTGGATGCGCTAATGAAAACAAAAAACATCCCAGAAGCACACCAGGATGCTTTTAAAACTGGTTTTGCAGAAGGCTTTTTGAAAGCACAGGTATTCCTGCAAAAAACACTTGGTAAGTTGTTTTAGTTCATGTATCTTGTGTTTGCATTCAGAAAGTAGTTTATTTCAGTCCATATTAAAACTTTTTTTTTTGTTTTCTTTTACAGATTCCTTGAGAAGATCACGTTTGCTTTCTTTCTTTCTCTTTGTTCTTTGTTTTTACCTTGCTATATATTCATCATTTTTACCTGGGAAAGGTTCCTTTTCTGATGCTGGTTAGTTAACTTTTTTTCCTGCATTGTTTCTCTTGTTACTTCCACCAGGTTTAGCACAAATTGAATGTGTTTTGATATTATGATTGTTTTAGGATAACAGGGAAGAGTTTACTGCTTTTGTCTACAGCCTTTCAGACAATAGTGTGCCAAAATGTTTATGGAAACAAAAAGTTGTCTGATGGTATAATTATTTTAATTCCTTTGGTGAAACAGTTACCAAATGGAGAAGTTGTCAGACTGTTTGCCAGTTACATATTTGTCTTTGAATTTAGATGATGTGTTATCTAGGTCAGCAGTTTGGTTTTGTTTGTAATCACAGCTTAGTTTATAGCTACTAGGTAACTGCAGGCCAAATTGTCATCTTAGAAACCTGTTGGAAATAGTGGAATGATCAAAGGCTGAACTAATGTAAATGGAGAATTTCAACTTCAGGCTAAATTATGGCTTGCGCTCAAGAAAGTTAGGTTATGTGCAGAAACACTGAGGGAAAGCTTCTGGCTTTCTGTACTAAGATGACTAAAAAGCTCTTACATCACTGAATTAATTACAAATTTTTTTCTTTTTTTTTTTTTTGTTTAAATGAATCTTAATTCTTGCTGGACACATGTAAATGGAAACATGCCCTTTTAAAAGGGCAGGTATAAAATTAATGGCTTAATGGTGGTATGCATTCAAGTTCAAATTTCATCTTGGAACAAAGTGACTTTGTGTAAATTTGTTGTTCATCATCTGCTGTTTGCTATTAGTACGCTTTCGAACATCAAGTATCTTTGATGCTGCAGTTGATCCAATCCAGTTGAAAAATGTCACCTTCGAACATGTAAAAGGGGTAAGTTCAGAAGTGTGAGTTCCTGCTTAACTAATCATTGTCAGACTGAAGAATGTCTTACTCTGTTCAAGAAAATTCTTTGTATAAACAGAAGCCTGATATATATTGAGCACTCCAAGATCAAGGAAGGTTTTAACCACTCTTATTTTATCTGGTATCTTTGTGGCATTTTAATACCTTATAAAAAGTGCATTCTTGACTTGTTGAATTGCATTTTTAAAGGTTAGAATGGCAAAAGCCAGGTCATAAAGTATTCATGTTCTTGTAAGGCCTCACTTGGAGTATTGTGTGCAGTTCTGGTGTCCTCAACATAAAAAGGACATGGAGCTGCTGGAGCAAGTCCAGAGGAGGGCCATGAGGATGATAAGAGGGCTGGAGCACCTCCCGTATGAAGATAGGCTGAGAAAGTTGGGGCTGTTCAGCCTGGAGAAGACTGTGTTGATACCTCATAGCAGCCTTCCAATATCTGAAGGGGGCCTACAAGGATGCTGGGGAGGGACTCTTCGTTAGGGACTGTAGTGGTAGGACAAGGGATAATGGCTTTAAACTTAAACAGGGGAAGTTTAGGTTAGATATAAGGAAGAAGTTCTTTACAGTGAGGGTGGTGAGGCACTGGAATAGGTTGCCCAAGGAAGTTGTGAATGCTCCAGCCCTGGAGGTGTTCAAGGCCAGGTTGGACAGAGCCTTGGGTGACATAGTTTAGTGTGTGATGTCCCTGCTCATGGCAGGGGGGTTGGAACTAGATGATCTGAAGGTCCTTTCCAACCCAAACTATTCTATGATTCTGTGTTAATCTGTTTTTTGCAGAAGGTGACCAGTACAAGAAGACGGTAATGCCATTTGATCATTTCTCTCTTAGTACCATTTATTTTGGATTTCTGATAGTAGGACAGGAGATAAAGAGATTCACAGAAAGAATTGGCCATGTCACTGCTGATGGGATAGCTTTATTGTTTCTATTCAACTGTTCTTTGGCTTTCAGTGCCAAAATGAGGACCTCCCCCTCTCCTTTCTCTTGGACAAATAGAATTAATTTCTTTTTAACTAATTAGACAAATCTTGATGTAGTATTTTTGATTCTGTATCTATCTTGTTGGTCAGATCTGGTCTTGAACTGTTTGGTTATTCTTTCACTATTAACAACTTAAGTGTTTACTGATTCCTATGAACAGTTCTGGGAAATAGATTGAATTAAATTCATGGACACTAGGTATCCACAGAAATTCTGTGGGTATGCTTTTATCTTTGTTTTGTATTTTTGATCAATACTCAATTAGAGACTTAGTCTCTAATACAAAACTTGCCTACAAAAACATTTATTTTAGAAATGCTTGGTTATATCTCGTGGCATGCTTTTTTTATGTGTAGGTTGAAGAAGCTAAACAGGAATTGCAAGAAGTTGTGGAGTTCCTGAAAAACCCACATAAATTTACTGTATTGGGAGGTAAACTTCCGAAAGGTAAGAACTCACTGCTCAGCAGAAGTAAAATTCATATGTCACCGTGGCCGTCTTTGTAGCTTTGTTCTACACTGAATGACTGATTTACAGCCTAGCTTCTGAATGTTTTTTCCTTTACTTAGGGCATCAAAAAAGTGTATGACCAAAATGGGCCTAGATACTACTGTTTTATTTAGCTTGGATCTGGGAGGAATACTGAAATAATATTAGACATAGGTAGTGGATTTCCTTGTTTGCTTAAAATACTTGAGGAACAAATGAAACCTCAAAGAGTTGTGAGAACTTTTCTATTAATGGATAGAGAAGCCTGAAGTATTCTCTTTGATAGCCTTACAAGTCTTTGTTGTTTGAATATGGATCGTCATGTATCTAGATTTGTTATAGGAAGCTTCTTCAGATGGCAAGTGATGAGCAGTATCTGAAAAGGGATGTTAAAAGCTTTTTAAAGTCAAGTGTAAATTATTTCCCCTAATGCGTGGAAGAAACAGTACCTGTATACGACGATTGTGTGGGTTTGATGGTTTTGTTATTTGAGTTTTTGTTTGTCTTTTTAGGTATTCTGTTAGTTGGACCACCTGGTACGGGTAAAACTCTTCTTGCACGGGCAGTAGCTGGTGAGGCTGACGTTCCCTTTTATTATGCATCTGGATCAGAGTTTGATGAGATGTTTGTTGGTGTAGGAGCTAGTCGCATCCGAAGCTTATTCAGTAAGTTAAATGTTCTGTAGTTTTGGAATGTTTTCACATGTGAGATTGTGTTCAGTGTTGATTAGGTACAGTTCTGGTTACTGGAAAGTAGTAGGGTATGAGGCTAATAAAACATGAATTGTGGAGGTAAATCTCAGAATTCTGTGAGTGTGAGTTAACTGTAGAATCTTGCTTGTTGTCAGACAAACTTATAGCAAAAATTATAACTGATGTTACAACACTCCCAGAGAGAAGTAATTTAATTAGAAATGCAGTGTCCTATAAACTAAACTTTTATTTTATTTTATTTTTTTTTTTTACATCTGAATGGGAACTTTACAGCATCGCAGTGTAGCACTGGGCTGACATCTCCTTTCTCACATCCATCAACAGGCCCAGAATAAAAAGGGCATTAAAATGAAACTTCTCAAATTAATGTTTAGGTTAATAACTTTCACATAAGAGGCTTTCTATTTGAAGTATGCACTTACTATTGGGGAGGGGGGAATCCAATTCTCTCTTAAATGGGAGATTGATGGTGTCAGGCATATGCAATGTAGAAACTAGTTTGCATTTGTAGAAGAAATGTGACTTGCTTCACATGGAAGGGCATGCAAAATGTAACGTGTTGTAGCTTTAAGTGCATTACTTCTGTTGACTACAGAAGTTCAGGTGACTGACTTGTACATTAATATTTTACAGATATGTCTGGCAGGGTGACAGGAGTTGCATCCTGCTATGCATGTACCTGTCAGTGGTCTTTATTACTGTATCTTTTATTTGTGTGTTTAATACCTGTAAAATTGTGGCCGATGTCCTTGCTGTTAAATAACAAGCAGGTTCTATTATAAGTTAGTGTTTAGACCCATCACAGTTTGTGTTATTTTTATTAAATAGGTCAATATTCTCTACCCAAGCCTATGAAATACACTGTTGTAGAGATGCACTGTTGTAGGGGTGTTGTAGGGATGCAAAATACAATAAATTTCTTACCTATTTTAGTAGTAATTTCTTGTTGTATGGTAAAAATAAGCTGGTGTAGAGATAAAGAACCTCGCCTCTCTTTGCATAGCTTCGTTTAAGAAGTAGATTGAATATTTTTTTAGGTTAAAATCAAGACAGTTCAAGACAGGTGATATCAAATAGAGCATGTTATAATCCAAGAGTAATAGAAATAGTAGAATCCTATATCATATGATACACTCTGTTCCTTTGTGTGGTTGAATTGTCCTTCTGCTATTTTTCTTCTGTCAGGGGAAGCAAAAGCAAATGCACCATGTGTTATATTTATCGATGAGTTGGACTCTGTTGGTGGGAAGAGAATTGAATCTCCAATGCATCCCTATTCAAGACAGACGATTAATCAACTTCTTGCTGAAATGGATGGGTAAATATAGGAATTCTGAGGGCACAGAAGGTCTTTGACTGACTATTTTGAATACTGGGGTGAATTTTTTTTCCCTTTCTGTAATGCTTTAAAGGATAGAAATTTAAGATGCTTTTATGACCAGTTTCTAGTACTGCAAACAGTAGTATTAATGGCCTTACTGTAAAGCATGTAGAAGCTTTGGAGTTGTAGTAGCACAATAACTGCAGTTATTTTTTATAATTGCTAATTTTTTTTTGGCTGACTGTATATCTAAAGGAAGAAGTTCAACTCTGAGATCAAGGCATGTTTTTAATCAGTTGCTGGGCTGAACGTGGTTGTGTTTGGATGGCATGTTGTTTGATAGCATGTTCTTGACTAGCTAGTTGAGGTCATCCAAAATAAGAAATAGAAGCAGTTATTGACAAAAAAAAAGGTGTCAATTTTGTGTCCAAAAACAAAAAGAAAGAATTCTTACCCTTTTTTTTTTTTCTTTTCATGCAGCTTTAAACCTAATGAAGGTGTTGTTATTATTGGTGCAACAAACTTCCCTGAAGCATTAGATAAGTGAGTATAATACAGAGTATGTATTCAAAAAACAAAGAAACAACCCCTGCAACATCAAAATTGTTTATGATAATCAGATAATGATTTGGGTTGGAAGGGACCTTAAAGACCATCTAGTTCCAACCCCCTGCCATGGGCAGGGACATCGTCCACTAGACCGGGTTGCTCAAAGACCCAACCAGCCTGGCCTTGATTGCTGCCAGGGATGGGGCAGCCACCTCTGGGCTCTGCTCTGAGCAACCTGCTCCAATGTCTCATAGTTGTTGGTTTTTTTCCCCTCTTAAAAATGATGTGTATTGACCAGTTTGGGGCATTAAAAAAGTTGCTTAGTTAAATTTGAAGAAATAAGTAACATGTTTTGAAGCGCCTAAAATTTCTGGAAGTTTTTCTGCTTAAGTTGATCAGTTGCATTCCTTGTTCATATACAAAATTTTCAAACCCAAAACACCCTTTAGAACGGGTTGGTAGTACACATCTTTCTTTTTTTACAAAATGTTAAGAAAAATGTATTCTTTGCATCTGTGCACCAGACATAATCTGTGTAGATGTCTTCAGAAATATGGGATGGATTTTTGTTCCTTAAATATGTTAATAACACCTTACTGCAGCATTTTTAAGTCAGTGTATTAAATTGTCTTTTCCCTTAGTGCCTTAATACGTCCTGGTCGCTTTGATATGCAAGTTACTGTTCCCAAGCCTGATGTAAGAGGTCGTACAGAAATTCTGAAGTGGTACCTTAATAAAATAAAGTATGATCCATGTAAGTAAATACTTTACTGTAATACCTTATGTAACAGTTGTTATACTGGATCAGCCCACTCATGTATTAGTCCTTCAACAATTGTGGCTTTACTGTGTATCTCAATGAAGAACGCAAAAATTGTCTGGTATGTTGTGTTACAAGTTTGTTGAGGCAGTGTTTCTTCCTCGTCTCCAACCGTTCACTGTGTCTTAAGAATTAGACTTCAGCTCTTCTAAAGCTGAACATTTTTTGTTTAATTCATTACTTTTAATAGAACATGATTCTTGCTTAGAATTAGGTAATTTCTTGATATTTCTTCATGATACAAACATTTTCAGGAGGAATATGGAGCCTATGACAAGTTTGTTTTTCTCCACAGCTGTTGATCCGGAAATAATTGCACGAGGCACAGTAGGATTTTCTGGAGCAGAGCTTGAGAATCTTGTAAATCAAGCTGCCTTAAAGGCAGCTGTTGATGGAAAAGATATGGTAACCATGAAAGAACTAGAATTCTCCAAGGACAAAATTCTAATGGGTAGGATTTTATACAAAAGGCACATATATGTTACACTACACAGGGTTTTTCTTGTGTGATTAAGACTTTGCAGAGAAAGAAAGTTTTTATGCTGCTGTTTTTTGGTTTGTCAGGGGTGGTTTTGTTATTTGGGGTTTTCTTTATTTTGTGTTTAGTTTGGTTTTTTTAAAGCAAGTCTCCTGTTAGCTAATTCTGAATAGAACCTTTTGAGACTAGAGAGTAGTATGTAAGATCTAATATGCAATTAATTCTTTAAGACTTCATGCCTTTTTTTAATCAAAACTGCTGCATGGTGTACTTCACAGAGGAAGACACAGGCTTGATTTCTTACCGTTCCCCTACTTACACTTAAAGGAAAGGGGAGAATAAATGACCAGAAACCTGGAACTTTTGTTTAACTAAGTTGTCACAGGGTAACACAAAACTAAAATATCTGAGGCGTGCACACTAAAAATCTAATCCGTTCATACTTGAGAGAAGAAATAGAATTTTCTCAGATACTTAGACTGCATTTTAAACCTTTAAAAAGCAGCTTGTCTGTAGGGTGTGTTTTAGACATTAAGATCCTACTCGTAAACGTTTACACTTAATGAGCATTAATTTTGCTTGCATGCTGTTCCTCAGCTTCTTTGTGCTCTGTTTGAGTATATGTAATGTGTGGACTGTGGTGGTCACCTGTACAGAAGAAGTCTTATTTATGTTCCTCTGTTTAAGGACCTGAACGTAGAAGTGTAGAAATTGATGAGAAAAACAGAACCATCACTGCTTACCATGAATCTGGACATGCTATCATTGCATATTACACCAAGGATGCAATGCCAATCAACAAGGCTACGATCATGACACGAGGAACAACACTTGGACATGTGGGTATTTTCTGTTGGTTTGGTGTTGCTGGGGAATTTGCCAAGAATGATATTTATTGTAATCATGTTAATGCATATTGTAGTATGCCGAAATACTCAGCTACGAGCAGTCTCTTGGAAAACTTTCTGGTCATGTTTTCTGTGTGATGGAGAAAGCTTCCTTCCTCCATTTTGAAATAGCCTGTGCTAGTATGATAGTTCATACATACAAGGAAAGGAAGAAAAGTACATCTGATTCTGCTGCAGTTAAAATAGCTCCCAACAGCGAAACTTTGAAGAATGTCTAAAGGACTGGAAAGTAGAAGCATTGCTCAACTGTACTTTTAACACAAATATCCTGTATCAAGTTATTCTTTGCCCATTGTGACTTTTTCTAAACTTAACTGGTTACCTTCCTTGTTTCTAGTAAAGATATCCCTAAGTTTTTCTATTCTGCCTTCAGCTGCCAAGCAGTTGAACAGAAAAATACCTCTATAATGTCTGTTTCTGTTGAACTTTATCGAAGTTAATGTTAATTAAGTTAATTTCAGTTAAAGAAACTCATTGGCCTGGATCCTCCATGCAAGTGGATTTGTGCCCAGTACAAGTGTAGGGA